GGCTGCTCTTCCAGTGGTCCTGAGTTCAATTCCCACCGACCATGTGGTGTCTGAAAGCCATCTGTAAAGGACTCTGATTCCCTCTTCTGGCATGAATGAAAACACAGCGCTCCGCATACATGAAATAAATAAATCGTTATGTCCAACTCTTGTAGAAGTACTTGCTGTAGACCAGAACCATAGTAAGCTGTCTTCTCACTCATCAGAAAGGCAATGGTTTTTAACGGGGGGGTTAGAATTCCTGTGTGGAGCTTCTAAAGTCCCCTAGAAGTCAAACTTTAAAAAAAAAAAAAAAAGAAAAAGAAAAAGTTGCAAGTCATGCAGACAAGCATTTGCTGTCTTGCATTTATTTATCTCCCAGACATCCCTAATAAATCACACTCCAGACCAGCCACTGTCCTTTTGTTCTTCGGTGAAGGAGTGAGGCAAACACATGTTTTCCTAGTGAGTCAGCACAGGACTCAATTTTATTACCTTTGACCTGAGTTTACCAGACAAAACTAATTGAAAATTTTGCCTTTGGGATCTCCCTTGACTCCTTTTGTATGTAGATGATGGATTCAGCTATGAATTGACATTACAGATGTTGTGGAGCAATGCCAGCCTTTAGGAATGTTTTATCAGTTTTAAGACAGCCACCTCAAGGGTAAGAATGTCAGCATGTCTTCTTAAAAGCACTTACACACACATTTACACACTGTCACACAAGCACAGCCCCACACACATGCACACAAAACACACACACAGCATATACACTCACAGACTCGCACGCATACTGTGTGTTTTCATCATAAAAGAGGCATAACTAAATTAGCTCCTGGTTAATTAATACAGTTTAGATTTTTAAAAGATAGCCAACCCTAAAAGCAAGCCCAAAGATATTTCCATCTCTCTGTGGTTTCCAGGATTACATATCTGTTTAGTGAAACCTTGGTAAGAGTAGAGCCTTTTCAGCCCATTGCCTGCTAAGCGTGAGGTGCGATTGTACCAGACTGGGGCCTACTGTAGTGTACATGCAAAGAACCTCAAAGCCCAGAAAATGCTTTGTTGGTTTGTTTGAAGTAAAGTAGAAGTACACACGCTATTTCATCTTTTACAGTTAGGAAAATTTTAACTGATTGAACTATGAATATATTCTGCCTCCTTACTGTTAGTGGCACTAGTTGGTCTTTCTTTGGACATAGATCTAGATACTACATACTTATTAGGACACAACTCAAAACTTCTCTTTACCACCACATTAGGGTAGTTTTGTTTGACATAATCTCCAAAATAATCACTTATAAAAAGTGTTTTGAGCCATTGAAATGGGTCAGCAGGTAAAGGGGACCTGAGTTTGACCCTCAACACCCACTATAATATCTGGCTTGGCTCACTTATTTCTTTGAGATAGCTAAAATATGACTCTGGTATAATACATTGAAGGGAGGCTTGCACTTCTTAGAAATTGTACTAAAAAGGCGGTCTCAGCTCTGGGGTTGCTAGCAGATGAGTGGCAGAGCACGCACATGGCATGTGTGAGGCCACAGGTTCAGCCCCAGTCCTGTAAAGAAAACATGAGTGACTTGAGTATATACAATTTTCTAAATTATTTTATTCAAAACACTTTTTTTTTTTTTGTAAACTTCATTTCAGTTTGTCACATCAGGAACAATTAAGCTGTAAAGTTGAAAATAACTATAAGGTTTCCTATCAGCAAATACAGTCTGACCTAAAATGTCCAGTTGTAGGCTACAAGTAGACTTGTGAAAGTGAGCAAAGGATAGAATTGAGTTGTTAGCCAAACCTGTTAGCTTTCAGTTTGTCTGGAAACCACCACATCTGCCTCCAAGCTGAGTAATCACGACTTCATAGTGTGGCTACGGGAAGTATGTACCACTTGTGAGTGAGTGAACAAAAAGGGGTCTCACAATGCGACCTTTGCTGGGTGAAACTGCTTTAGTAGACTATGCCTAGCTGGGTTGTTCTGGATCTTGCTAAGTAGCTGGGAATAACAAACTTTGTGTCCTCTTTCCTGTCCCTGTGAGTGCAGGCGTGAGTCAGCAAACTCACTTTAAGCTAGTGATGGAGCTCAGGGCCTTGTGCTTGCATGGAAGGCAGGCCCATAGCACCTAGAGGCCTCAGCCCTGAGCAGTCTTCTGTGGAGACACTGGTGAGAATTTACTTTAGCATCACTAAAATTAAAACTGTCAAAAAAGTTTATTTAATGGGTAATACATTCATTTAATTTGTATTTTCATCTATGTTTTGGAATAGAAATGTCTGTCACACCCACATACACAGCCCAGAGCTTGGGTGTTTGAAACTAGATCTCACTATGTAACCCCAGCTGGCCTAGAACTCTGGGTATAAACTCAGAGATCTACTTTCCCACCCACTGTGCCTGACTGTAGTTACTATATTGGTTTTGCTAGATGTCATTGTATCATTTCTCAGGAGTTATTCAGAATATCTAAACTTTTAATTCAATATTCTTTTATGTTTGTTTGTTTTATTTCTATAGGATCAGAAAGTAATCCCTTTTCTCCCGTTTATGGCATCTATCTAATACATATATAAGATTAAAAACAAACAAGTTTAGTTTGCATGATTAAACGTGATTTAACAAAAACTTGATTGAGGGTACCTGAGAGGAATTTTAGGGGTGTCAGTATAATCTAAATATATAGTATTCATGTCTGAAATTTCCAGAGAATAAATTTTTAATAGAATAGAAAAGGGCAAAATAAAAATGTTCTTTTTAAACTTTCACTATTTTAAATCTTGAATATTGTTATATAAGTAGTTCCTAGAAGTAAAATCTAAGAAAAAAAAAAAAACACAAATTAACACACAAAAAAAGAAACAAGCAAGTAAGTAAGCAAACATGAAGTTTGGAGAGCTGCTAAGCAGTGAAGAGCGTTACTGTTCTTCCAGAGCACACCCAGGAGCACAGAGCTCCATAGCGTGTCTCCGGCCTCCCTGGAAACCGCCATTCATGTGCTGATGGAGACCCACGCACGTACACATAATCAAACGTAATAAAAATAAGTCTTTGGGGCTGGAGAGATGGCTTAGCAGTCAGGAGCACCTGCTACTTTTGCAGAGGACCTAGACTTGGTTCACAGCACCCACATGGTGGATCATGACTGTCCTTAACTTCACTTCGGGGGCATCTGTCTCCCTCTTCTGGCCTCTTCGAGCACCAGGCACATATAGATGCATGCAGGCAAAATACTCCTGTACGTAGAACAAAAATAAATGGTTGTCTTTGTCGTAAGTAGGGCCTCTATCGTATTTTCTTTTAAATAATTGGTTTATAAACACAAGTATTAGTGTGCACATGGAATTCTCAGGACTAGTAGGTGTCAGTTCTTTCCTCCTAGCTTTTTGTTGCTGGCGATGGAACTGAAGTCATAGGCTTGGTGACAAGTGCCTTTATCCTTGAAACCATTCTGTCAGCCTCTGTAATACTTTATTTTCATCACTACATCTTACGTAGCTGGCTTTTTTTAATGACAAATTCATTTGACCTTAAAGGGCTTTGATACACAATGACCACCTTTCCCCCCCCCCCCTTAGGTCTGAGTCATTTATGAAAAGCCAGTGGGAAAGTCTTTACTAAAAACCTTCATATGCAGAAATATTCACACAATATGATCATTAACAAAATTTCTGTGTGGGTATAAACCAGTTCTAAACAGATAAAGGCTACTATATATTATATACTAGTGAACAGCCACCAATCTATGCTCAACAAACTTGGGAATTTACAGTTTTGCCAATTCTTATATTCATTTTACATTAACTAATGTTTGTGTGTCAGATATACCACACTCTGGAACCACACCAGGTCAGAGGACAACACTGTGGAGCCAGTTCTCTCCTTAATACCTTTATGTCTGTTCTGGAAATTGAACTCATGTAGTAAGGTCTGCGCAGCAAGCATGTTTACTGAGCTATCTCACCAACCCCTATTTTTACCAAGCCTATAGTTGATTTTCTGAATCATGTTACTTGTAATTGTGGGTGCTATGTGCATGTGCGCAAGTGAGTGCAGTTACCTACAGAATCCAGGAGAGGGCATCAGATCCCCGGGAGCTGGAGTTGCAGGCATTTGTGAGCCATCCCAAGTCAGTGCTAGGAGCTGAAGTGAGCTCCTGGAGGGACAGTCACCTTTAACTGTTGAGCCATCTCTTCAGTCCCCTGGAGTTGATTTTCATGCAGGCTCCTTATCGGGTACAGTTGGGATTCATTGGATATAAGACTTTATTGAATGTCTAAATGTTAATGTAGTTTAATAATTTGTAATATTGCAAAATAAAAGCAAAGTATCACAAAAATTGTTGTAGAAAAAAACTTAAAAGTACACTTTATTGATAAGTGGTTACACAGTTTCATCTTTGTTTAAGAACTCACTGGAAAAGGTAGGTAATATTCTCAAATCATACCTAAAAGAAAAGTTTTATCACAGGGTTAATATTCTGACAAGTAACTTTCCTCTGAGGGGGGAGCAGCCTTACCAGGCCACAGAGGATAACAATGCAGCCACTCCTGATGAGATCTGATAGACTAAGATCAGAAGGAAGGAGAGGAGGACCTCTCCTATCAGTGAACTTGGGGAGGGGCATGCATGAAGAAGGGGGAGGGAAGATGGGGCCGGGAGGGGAGGAGGGAGGGGCTAATGGGGGGATACAAAGTGAATAAAGTGTAACTAATAAAAGTAAAAAAATAATATGTATAAATAAAATAAAAAGAAAAATATTCTGACAAGTAATTCTGGATAAATATTATACAAATCAAGCCAAAAATTGGATAGGTTGTCCAGAGCTGGCTTGAGGAAGGTTGTTTTGTCAAAATGCTGGCTGCATCTTAAAATGTGTGTGTAGGTGGAATCTTGTTCTCTAAAAACAGTGCTGTCCTTGTGTGACATAGTGATTCATGTGATGTTGAAATGAGATGTATCAAAATCCCTTTTTCATTAGTATTTCTCATCAGGAGTTTCTTGTGTTTGTTTTCAGGGCCCACATATAGCGTCAGTTACATTAGCTGCTTATGAATGCAATTCAGTTAATTTTCCTGAGCCACCCTATCCTGACCAGATTATCTGTCCAGATGAAGAAGGCACTGAAGGAACCATTTCTTTGTGGAGTATCATCTCAAAAGTTAGAATTGAGGCCTGCATGTGGGTAAGAGCTGCATTTTCATATTTGCTAAAACTAACCTCACATCTTGATACAGGTCTTGCCTTTTAGACTATGGTTTACACATGACTCGCCAGTAAAGATTTGGGAAGCCACTTGCTGCACACTTCCAAGGCAAAAGTCTCATTTAATAGGTACAGAGCTGGACATGTTGGTGCATGCTTGTAATCTCAGTGTTTTGGAACTTAGACCAAAGGGTCAGACTAGACTGCAGAAACAAAAAGAATTAAGAAATAGAAAAGTAGTCATGTATATTACTGATAGACTAAATAAAACACTGTTTGTTGAGAATTTATTTCAATTTCAGCATTGTTAGTGAAAAGACCCATTTCTCTATGTAAACTAAGCTTCCTTGCTGATTTCAGACTGTGTTTAGGGAGTGATCCAGTAGTCAGTTGCCCTAGTCATTCTGTCAGACTTTAACCTAAAGTTAAAGTCTCCTAGGGAAATATTTTTGGGCAACATTTCAATGGCAGATGTATTTTATCTTGATTAGATGTTTGCTTTTACTTAAATTTATTTAAGTGTTCCTCATTAAGGCATACATCTTCTAACTATTTAGTTCACTGAGTTTATATTCTCTTAATTTTTTTTTCCTCGCAGTTTTTAGGAAATAAGAGCACGTGAAAAGGTCACACACAAATCTTGCCTCCGGTGGCAGTGAGGTGATTTCCTGGATAAAGGTGCCTGTTGCCTGGCCTGACATCTTAAGTTTAGACCCTAGAATCCATGTGAAAAAAGGAGAGAAGCGCCTCCCATACCCTGTCCTCTCACCCCACACCAGGGCACACCTTTGCATAGGCACACATGCAAGCACACACACACGGATGTGCAGACAGGAGCACAAACAAGGAAATCAAGTTTTTTAAAAATCTTAATTCCACCTTTGATTCCAGCACCCACAAGGCAGAGACAGGTAGCTCTCTGAGTTTGAGGCCAGCCTGGTCTTCTGAGTGAGTTCTATGACAGCCTAGGGCTAACAGAGAAACCCTGTGTCAAACAACAAACAAACAAAGTAAATAAAATAAAAAAATCTTAATTCATTAAAGCAGCAGTTGTTACCCTAACTTCGAAGCAAGTTTGTTTTTTTCATTGTTGTTCTGGTTGTATGTGTTTGTTTATGCATCTGAGTATTTTTCCTGCATATTTGGTGTAACCACTTGTGTAGCTATACCTTTGGAATTCAAAAGACAGTGTCAGAGCCCCAGAACTGGAGTTAATAGGCCACAATGTAGTAGATGTTGGGAATCGAACCCAGACCCTCTGGAAGAGAAGTATGTGCTCTTAACCACTACACCTCTCCAGCTGTGGAAGAGACAGGATTTTAAAAGTTATGTTTTAGTGCCTCCTTCCCCCAGTGGTTCTAGAGATCAAACGCTAAGCCTGGCACTTGCTAAAAGCAAGTACTCTTCCACAAAACTGCATCCTCAGCCCAGAAATTATATTTTGCTTTGAAGGAATTACAAAGCAAATGCCATATGTTGAGTTTGATTATGAAAGGCAGGAAGAGTAGTCATGTTTCCTGTTGCTCTTTTCTAAACACTGGTGACAGATTCAGTACGGTGGTAGTATGTTTTATAGATTTGAGGAGTTTATTATGAAAAATTAGGATTAGAATAACATATTTGGAACATGTGATAAAAGAGGCTACTTATACAGTTTCTTAGTTTTGTTCCTTCAAAAGTTCTTTTTGTGGCTTGATTAATACTTATGCAAACAAAAGGAGCTTCTGTTGTGGCTGGCAGCCTTACCGGCCTTCTTCACCTTCTGGTGTGCGTTGTCTGAAGTGCCTCTTCAGCCAGGCTTCCTGCCTGCTCTAAAGCCTAGTGCGATGACTTCCTTCCCCAAATACTGACTGGCTTCTGAAAAATGGAGGCTTTACCTTCAATATGTGACCTCATGGTGGCCAGCACAAGCTTTTCCACAGTGCAGGATTTTGTCTAATGTGTATTTTCTTCTTTTCCTCTTTTAACTGTCTTTTGTCATCTAAAAGCCTTAGTACCTGTCAAATGTGGCTTTGGTTTTTTTCTTTTGGTGGTTATTTTGTTTTGATACAAGTCTCACTATGTAGCCCTTGGCTGGCCTGGAACTCACAGAGAATTGCCTGTTTCTTCCTGCTGAAGAGTAGGCTTAAAGGCATGCATCACAATGCCCACCTAGCATCAAGTTATTTTTAAATTGGTGCCTGTCCTCAGTATTTACAAGTATTTACAAGTCTTTTCATTAAATGCTATTTCTTAATGGGATACCCATGTTTGAAAGGATAAAGTTAAACCGTTACTTTACATCATATGTTGGAATTAACCAAAATACATTAAAAAAAAAAAATCTTAGAGCTAAGCTAAGACAATTCAACTGCTGAAAAAAAAGAAAGAAAAATAAGCATGCTGCTGAATTTGGCAGTCGTTTCCTGTATTTCACAAAAACTCAGGAGGAAAAAGGTTAAAAACGTGTGCCAAAGCCACCCCGAAGAGGTTGGGTAAATGACCTAGAGCAGGAGGCCCAGCTGCTAATCAACAGGTGATGAGCTCTGAAAAATATCCCCAGTGTTTGAAGACAGACCTCCTGTCACCCACCAGTCAAACTTTAAAAGGGTCAATGAGGGATGGGGTTTCTCTCAGCAATAAAACACTTGCCTGGCATATGCAGTGTCCTGGGTTCAGAAGCATAAGAAGAGAGTGTGTACCTGAGTAGACGTTTATTCAAAGATGTACATAAATGGTCCATGAGTGTGAGAGGGGGAGCAACAGTACCGGGTAATCGGGGAATGCAATTCTAAGCCTCAAGGAGCTAGCCCTTAATGGCACTGGCGAGAGGCTAGGCCAGGAATATTACCATGAGTCTGAGGCCATCTGAACTACGGAGTGGGACCTTGTCTCAGAAAACCAATGATTATATTACCATTATTAATGATGATAATTATGATGTAATGGAAAATAAGATGCTTCCAAGATGTAAAGAGATTGGTGCAGAATGAATTGATGGCAAAAATGTAAAGTTGTTAGCTACTATGTGCAACAGATGGTCAGAGAAATACTTAAAACAATCTAGGGCTTTGTAGCCCTTTAGAAGCCATTCCAGGTCCAAAATGTAGCAGCATTTTGGAGTAGGGAGGAACAGTGGGGTGCTGGACACAGGACCAACTTCACATGCCAGATTAGTACTCAGCCACTGTGCTACAAACCTAACCCTTCGGCTTTCTTCTTTTAAAGCATTTATTACTGTATGGACATAATAGGTTTCATCATGATATTGTCATACATGTATATGATGCATTTCTTTTCCCAACTAGGCCCCGTTTTACTTTCACCTCCTATCTGGGGAGGGAAGGAGTACCTTATTAGGGTTAAATACAGGAGCATGGATGAGAGGTCGTTTTTAATAGCATGGACACTGCCACTTAACATCCTTTTTTAACTTCTATAATTTGTTTAACCAGTTCAAACCTTCTCAAATTTGTTATTCACTCATGAATGCCACAGATAGCTCTTAAGCATTTAAGTTCTGGAGGTCTTAATGTAAACAGAAACTATGGTAAGCTCTGTGAAGAATTTTATGGTGTAGTACTAGAATTTGCCCTCATCAGGGTTCAGAGGTTTCTGCTAAGGAAACCTCAGTTGAGATCTGAGGTGGGAGAGTGAGGTTGGAATGTAACCAAAGCAGGAGAGTCAAAAATACATGTGGTAACTTTCAGAAAGCTTCACATTCTAAGGGACTTTTTTTTTTTACATTGTTACAAAATATACATGACAGTTTCCTATTTTAACCACTTGAAGCATGTAATTCAGTGTCATTAAGGCACATTTACAATTTTTACGTAACCATCTCCAATGTCCATTTGTAAATATTTTTTGTCATTTGAAAGAGAAATTCTGAACCAATTAAAAACTAATTTCTCATTCCCTCTTTTTTCCTGACCCTGGTAATGTCTACTCTGTATTTCTGTGGACTTGCCTGCTCTGCATATCTTAAATGGCAAATAATATGTTTGCTGTTTGGTGCCTCATTCTTAGTTTGGAATGTTTTCAAATTTGACCCGTTCTGTAGCATTGTTAGAATTTCATTCCTAAGGCTATTTCAACTATATCTTTGTATATCTTTGTATACTTTAAAAATATTAGTTTAAGCTGGGTGCGGTGGCACATGCCTATCATCTTAGCACTGTAGGAGGCTGAGGCAGGTGGATCTTTGTGAGTTTGAGGCCAGCCTTCATCTACAAAGTGAGTACAGGACAACCAAGGCTACACAGAGAAGCTCTGTCTCAAATAAAACAAACAATCAAACAAAATATTAGTTTAAAAAAGCTGAACATGGTGGCGTATGCCTTCAATCCTAGCCAGAATGACACAGTGAGCCCCGAAAAGAGGGGGAAAAAATAGTTTAAAAAAAAATTCTCGTGGAAGCTGCAAGCATGTTTTATCTGCAGAACAATGTGATGTTATCAGGATATTATAGCTGTTCTAAGAGCCTTGACTTCCTTGGTGATTTTAAGGTTACTTTCCAAGCCTTTGCTTATTTAACCTTTCGTGTTTGAAGTTGGAATAGTTAGTGAAAAATGCCTCTGCGATTAAAGGATGTTTCTGTTAGTGCAAAACTACAGCTTCCAGGAAGTCTGCTGTCCAGACTTAAACCATTAAACCTAACATTTCTTGATTATAAGTTCACAGTTCTGGTTATGAATCTACTTGAGAGAACTTTTTCAATACATGAAACATTAGTTTAAATATTTTCTTCTCCCTAAATCTTTGTAGAAAATTAACACACCAAGGAGATACTGTACTTATCACTTTGTTCTCATGTTTTCTGGACATTAAATTCTTCACCTGTCCCAGAAGCAAGAACTTCAGGGTAATGGTTATAAGAATTGCTTGTCCTTTTTTCTTTTTTTTTTTTTTTTAGTACTGGGTGATGATTTGTCTTTCTCTTAGAACAAAAGAATGCTCCCTTCTCTCCTTTTAATTAAGCCTGGCCCAATATGTTTATTTATAAATAAGCAATTAGAAGGTGTTTAGGGCCAGTAGATAGCTCACTTGCCATCAAGCTCAGTGCTCTGAATTTGATCCCCAGTACCCAAGACAAGGGCTCATGTGCCCCAGTCTGGCCTTGAACTCATGATGTAGCCATGGATGACTTTGAATGTGTAATCCTCATGTCTCTATCTCCCAAGTGCTGGGATAATAGGCATTTATCAGTTTGTGCTGTGTTGGGGGTCAAATCCAGGGCTTCACGCATGCTAGGCAAACACTTTGCCAAGTAAGCTATAGCCTCAGCTTTATAAAATTACTTTAAAGAACTGTGGAAGCCTGAGTCCTCAGCGCCTAATTTGAGATAACTAACTTTGTGTCTAGAGTGTAATGTGTTTTGAGAATCTACTTGTATATCCTTTTTATTTGTTCAGTAGTTGAATACTGACATGATTACCATTTTTTCTATTATGAAAAGTATGAAGTATTAAAGTGTAAATGATTGTGATCAGCTAAGACCAGGCATAGCTTTTGATTTCTTTTCATTCCATTATGCTACTTCCTTTCTGGCCTTAAGAAAATTTGTTACACGTTTAAATCAGACGATTGCTTCCAGAATTGTCGATGTTTGACTTTACATCTGAACTTAGAGAAGTTCACATTTTAACTAGCACGTTGTAATGAGCTTTTCTTCTACTTTCTATTATGGAAAAGTTCTAAAAGTTTCCCAAAAATAGAAAGAAATAAAATAAACCTAATGTACTCTTACCAAATTTGTCCATCTGCCTTGGCTGACTCTGTTATCTTAGAACAAATCTCACACATTTTATTTATTACCCTCCAAGCTTAAATGAATGGATCACAAGTCATTAATATGCATGTTAAAATTAGTAGTGGTGTTACAGTCATCATCTACTTAATGGTTATTTATTTTGTTTTGAGACAGGGTTTTGTTTGAGACATGGTTTCTTTTCTCTGTGTAGCCCTGGCTGTACTGGAATCACTCTGTACACCAGGCTGGCCTTGAACTCACAGAGATCTGCCTGCTTCTGCCTCCTGAGTGCTGGGATTACAGGTGTGTGTCACCATGCCCAGCTGGGGTTCAGTTTTCTTAACTGTTACTTTTCTTTTCAAACTTGCACATTGATTAAAAGAGTTTGTTGGTTCCCCACAGTGTGATTTTATGGCTTTATTCTGGTGTGTGTAGTTTGAGCCTGTTCCTCTGTTCCCTGTGTTTCCTGTGAGTTGCTACATTGAGATCCTTGAAGTTATGGACTTTCTGGTTTTGGTTTTAGTCTTTTATTCAGACAGGGTTTCTCTATGGAGCTCTGGCTGTGTGGAACTCACTGTGTAGATCAGGCTGGCCTGGAACTCGCAGATACCCTTCTGCTTCTGCGTGGGATTAAAGCTGTGCTTCACCGTGCCCAGTGTGCTTCTTGTTCCTAACAGGAACAGCTTGTGTGTTCCTGTCACATGGTGCAATGATGCCTCATGTGTGACAGTAGCACCAGTGATAATTCAGTATTTTTGTCTATTATTTATTAGGATTCATTAAAAATAGTATTCCAAGTATATGTTTTTTCTTTTGTTTTTAGTTAAAATATCTTTTTTTCCTCTTGAGATTGTATCCTACTCTGCTGCCGGGTTGTCCTCCAACTCCTGTACCCTTTTTCAACCTCCTCATTAGCAGGGGCTTACAGTCATGCGCCTCCGTACCCAGTTTGGAAGACTTTCCTAGAAAAGATTTCCTCATTGCTCATTTGGTTGCCCAGGGATTTAGTTCATATATGAAAGTAAGAATAAGTATTTGATCCTTTGCACTTTAAAATTTAATGGTTCTCTCTTCTTCCTCTTCTGCTCCCTGATTCTCTCTCTCCTCTCTCTCTTCTCCTCTCTCTCCCTCTCTCTCTCTCTTCCTTTCTCTGTCTCTGCTCCCTTCTCCCCCCTTCCCCTAATAAACCTCCCACGTGGAAAAAAAAAATTAATGGCTTGTTTCTCTCTTGTCCTCCAGGGTTGATCAGCATTAACTTCTCTTGTTCTTTTTCCCTTCATACTCCTGACCTTCCTTTTTCTTCCTCTTTTTCTAACTCTCGTCTCCATCACAGGTTTACTTGCCGACACTTAGACATGTTCTTTTTCAAAGTTCTTATTTCACGTATAGATAATGATATATAGTTTCTACACACTGAAGATACAAAACTTTTAAATTTGCTGATGTTCTTCAAGGATTCCTTTTAGATCAGGCTGGCTGCAGCCTCAAAGAGATCTGCCTGCCTCTGCCTGATGACTGCCTCAGTTAAAGGAGCACATAACCACACCTGGTCACTTTCTATAAACTTTTACTGGTTCTTTGTGAGTTTCATATCATGCACCCCAGTTCTACTCATCTCCCTGTCCCCTTATGTCCACCCTCTGCCCTTGTAACATTCACCCCCCAAAGAAAATAAATAGCATACAAATAAACAAAGCATAGGCAACATCTCGTCGTGGAAGCTGAAGTGTGTCACAGTGTGTCTCATACGTCTCTCTGTCCATACATCTTCACTTGTGAATGTTCGTTGTCTGGTTCTTGATCTCTGGCTTCTGTGACACCATCTATATTGACCCCTCACCAGGACTCCTTCCGGTTATTCTGTCGTTGCCCTGTGTCATAGAGATCCTACAGCTTTGGATCCTCAGGACCACTGGCTCTTTTTAAAAATTCATATGTCTGTGTGTGGCTATGTATGTGCACTTGTGAGTGCAGTTGCCTACTGAGGCCAGAAGAAGGTGTCAGATCACTCGAAGCTGTAGTTTTGGGCATTTGTGAGCTGAGCTCCCAGATATAAGTGCTGGGGAAAAACTTGGGTTCTCTGCAAGAGCTGTACATACCTAACTGCCCAGCCATCTCTCCAGGGTCTTTAAGAATTCTTTTCAAGGCATTTAGACCAGTGTAAGCTAAAAGTTAAGGTTGCTTTGTAAACTAGCAAATAGCAAACCCTTTTATTCACTGTGACTCAGGGCACAGTACCAGGTCTGGCTGGCTGGTTGTTTCAGAGTGGAGGTTTCTCCAGAGGCTGTCTCTGTCATATTATGGCCTATCTGGTATTTAAGCCACTCTAAGCCAAGTTCCTGATTCTAAATTTTGTTTTCATCTTTATGTTCTGAACTGATTAAGGAAAAATAACAAAACAACAACAAAAACCTTCCTTCAAAAACGTAAATCTACAAAGTAATCGAAGTGTGAATCACTGAGGAAATAAACATGTTTAAATCCTCTCCTAACAATTACCCATCCTGGTGCTGAGGATGAGCACCTTTTTGGAGAGCCTCTTGGTTGCAATTTGTACTAAGGCTTTATTTTTTGAAGGAAGAAAGATAAAAGCCTGTTCCGAGATTTAAAACAACTGAAATGTCCTGGAGAGTTGATTGCTTGCTTGGAGGGTTTTGTTTTGTTTTTGTGATAAATCTTTAGCCCAAGCTAGACCAAGAGGATCAAACTTGTGATCTTCACAGCTGTGCCTTCCAAGTGATAGCAATTTTCATTTGCATTATAACAGTAGAACCTAAGGAGAAATGCTATATTGAGTCTATGTATGTGCCAAGGAGTGTCTCAGAGTCTTGTTTATTATCTTATCTGGGTTACAAGTCAGGATTGGGACTCAGATTCTGAATCTTTGAGTTTTGTAGCATATGTATACAATATATCTCGATGCTTTTGGAAATATAGAAAGTGTAATTTGATTTGTTTTGTCATTGTGCTGAAAACAATCTCATGGAGAGTATTTTGCCTTTTCACACAGGGTATCGGTACAGCCATTGGAGAGCTGCCTCCATATTTCATGGCCAGGGCAGCTCGTCTCTCAGGAGCTGAACCAGATGATGAAGAGTATCAGGAATTTGAAGAAATGCTGGAACATGCAGAGAGTGCACAAGTAAGAACAGTATGGGGAAATGGAATTCTAATCCCTGACTCAACTGTTATTCAGGTAGAATGGTTAATAGTAGCTGAATGGAAGAAAACTGCCAAAATGAAAACAAAACGAAATATGGTCTGGGACAGAATATGCAGAAACACTGAAAGTGTAAACTGATGAATATGGCCTGGGAGACTGGGTTCCTGATAGGTTTGCACAGCATGCATGTGGGCTCTGTTCTTAATACATTGAGGAAGGGGAAAAGCCTAGACACACCCTTTGTCAGTGGTTTTTTTTCCAAACAATTAGCAAAAAGATAAAAAGCCACTTTCATCACCCCCAGAAACTGATAAATGTCACCTCTTTGCTTCAAAAAGATTGTGTATGTGCGTGCACACATATGCTCACACTCACCCCAGTCCTTGTATGTTACTAGTTGGGTTGGGTTTGTCCTGATAAAGTATAGTTTTGTAGCCTAAGATGTCCTTGAACTCATAAGGGTTGGTACAGTACTACAACCAACTCTGGCTGTCTCTATGGTAGCCATTTCCTCCTGAAAAACAGCCTTGGCACTTCATCCTCATGGGAAAACACACAATCATGTTTAAAGCAATTCAGATTAGTCCTTCTTTACCTTCGAATGTTCTGTAGAGTATCATCAGAATGGACAGGATAAGGCAGATCAGTAAAAAACTAAATTCCAGGCTTAGGCAAGCTGCGGTAGTTGATGAAAGCTCTTTCCCCAAGACAGCCTGTGTGGCAATCTCAGTGTTGCTGGGTGGTGGTTTCCCTCAGAGGAGACTGCCTCACAACACTGGTGAATGTTAAGGCTGGCCTTCAAAAACACTGCAGACAACACTGCGGTGGCCACTGTGGAAAGTGAGCTCTCCTTGCTCCCTCCCTCTAGGGTTGTGTCTGACAAGCCTTGGATGGCTGAGGTTGGGAGCTTTGGTCATTTTTAATAGATGGAAACAGAAACTTAATAAAATAATCTTGTCTCCAAAAGAACATCAAACAGGAGAAACATGAGAGAAACTCAGAAATCGTTTGATATACTTGATTTTGGAAGGCGTTTTCAGGTGTATCCAAAAGGCTTCTGTTGTTGGCATTGGGAGTGGCGACGCCCTTCTGGGTCTTTCGGTTTTTTACATTTATTTAAGTTAGGGTGGGAATGACACATGTCATTGTGTCCCTGTGGAGATCAAAGGGCAGCTTCCACTGTGTGGGTCCAGGAGCTCAAACTCGGGTCCTCAGGCTTGGTAGCAAGCACCGTTGCTGAGCCCTCTCACTCTCCCAAGAAAGGGTCTCTTACTTGTCCTGGAACTCTAAATTGGGAGGCCAGTGAGCCCCAGGCTCCACCTGTCTGCACCTCCCCAGCACTGGGATTACAGATATGTACCAACCCCCTTAGCTTTCACGTGGATGCTGGGGATCCTCGTGCTTGCAGCAAGTGCTTTGCCGGCTTTACCAGTTGAGCTATCTCCTCATCTCTGGGTTACGTTAAAGTAGGAATTGTTTTATTGTCAGTTATCTGATTAACTGAATAACACAATCACCCTGTTAGTAGTTAATGGCTCTGAATAAGAACTCCTATCTATCCTGCTCATGGACACGTTGAGTGTCTTGTCTCAGTGGATACATTTCAAAGATGGTGTTCCTACCACTCCCGACATCAGCTAGACCAGCAGACTTTATGACTCATTTCATTCTTGGCAGTTTTTTTATTCGTGGATAATGCATTCCATAAGCTTACTGCCCTTAAAAAGCTCAATTTCAAAAGCTCAGGCCTGCAATATGATGAAGTAAGACAGCAGTCATACTTTGTCTTTTGTCTATAATTGGAGTTCTTGAAGATTCCAACCTACCTAGTGGGAGAGTGCTAATCTTTTCCTGCTTCTCGTATGGTCTTGATTATTTGTGTTACTTTTAATCAGGTCTTTTCTAATTTGACTTCATCTATCCTAGATAATATCTATCATCTTATTAGAGGAGATGGCACATAATACCTCTGATAATTATGAAGTTTGGGCTCTTCTAATACTTTTTGGCTTTATGTCAGGGATTACAAACATGATTTTAGGATAAACTATACTTCATATTTACTTATCTTGAAAATGAAGAAAGCAAACTATAGGCATTCTATTTCCTGTCCTTTAAAGCAGAAATTATATACCTATACGATCTGCTTCTTGCAGTGCTGAAGGTTGAATCCAGGGCCTTGTTTGCTGTTGGACGGACTCTGAGCTCCATGCCAGCTGTATAGCCTTGTGCTCTTTAAGTGCACTCTGCTTAAGATGCTTACTCAAATGAAGTTATAGATGTTGTCAGTTGCCATACAAACTAGAAAATAATCTTGTAAAATAGTAAGAAAAATATTAGCTTTAACATGATAACTGCTTTTTTTTTCATTAATTTATTTCTAAGATCAATAAAATCCTGTGTATTAAAGATGGGGCTAAAGAAGGGTGGAGCTGGGAGGGGAAGAGGGATGGGGCTACAACCAGGTGTGAAGTGAATAAAAATAAATTAATTTTTAAAAACCCTGTGAATAGTTGAATAAGTCACCTTGCCACACTGAACTAAAAGTTGTATAACTTTGAGATTCAGCAGGTTACTCTCACCCACATTGACTGCCTATAGGTGTTTGAATGTGGAAATAGACACATAGTTGCCGGTGTGTCGAGCTTTTTGGTGAATTTGTGCATCTGTTTTCTGGACAGCTGTACACAGATGCAGTATGGAGCATTCTTTATTCCTTTAACCCAGCTGGCTTTAGTGCGTATGGTATCAGTGGACACATCTGGATTTCCCATCTCCTTCATGACTAATTTCCAGATTTCTTTGAGTGTATGAAGGCCAGGCTTCCTGAAGCCGACTTCGTGTTTTGTGACTGTTGATTATATGTTCTCAGATCACCATCTTGTTGATGGCAGAATAGCTCTTTTTGTCCCCCTTCCTGTGGGAGCCATTCTGCTAGGCACAAGGGATTCTGGTTTTTTTTTTTTTTTTTTTTTTTTTAAGTAGGCACAAATTTGACTGTTTTACCCAGATTGGACACAAACCCTGGGTCCCTCACTGGGTAGCCCTAGTAGGCTTTGAACCTGCTGTCTTCCTTCCTCAGACTCCTGAGTAGCTGGGATTACAACCTGTTCCAGCAGCCTGGCTTCCAGGGGATTTAATTTTGTCTCAGACTGTGGCTAAGTAGCTATAAATGGCATGTTCAAGACATGTTAGCCTGGTATACCTTTCATAGTGCCTTCTGGGTAGTGGTTTAAAAGTTCTTTAGTAATCACGGCAGAATGATTACATTGGGCTAGAATTTGCTCATATAGATAAATGTAAAACTTGTAGTTTGATAGGCGCAGTAAACAGAAAAGTGGAGCAAGCATAATGAAAACAATAAATCAAGTAAAATTAATGACTACAAATTATTACTTAAAGGTTGTCTGAAATAGTTTTAATTTTTTTTTTAATTCTTGAAGGTAAAGTTCTTTAGTGGCATAAATTTATCAGCGGGAAGTCTAAATAAATCACATGCACACTCACACAAAACCTTGGCACCAGCTGCTTTCCCGTGTGCTCTCCAAGTGGGTTAAAGGGGACATGTAGATTTTACTAAGAAATTGTTGCTCAGTAACAGTGTTCCCACTATGTATTTACTTAAATCCTACTTCTGACTAATGTTTAATTTCATGTAATAGCTGTTTTGAGAGAAAGAACAATCATAAGTGTTGATTTATTTTCCAATTCCTAATAATTACCTCATTTATTTTGTGAGTACTGTGTTGAGATTAGCCAGTATTTTTCCACTAAGCTGACTTCCTTTTGCTCTTGACTTTCTGTCCTGTTCTTTCTCTTTATCTGTGGGAGACAGGCATGAGTAAGTGTAGCTTCTTATGGTCTTGAACTTTCAGTGTTTCAGAAGTTCTAAGCTAGCCTGGTAATGTTGGTCTGTAACCCTGCTAGTTTTGGGGAGACTAAGGCAAAAGGACACAAGTTCAAGGCCAACCTAGTCATCTTAGTGAGATCCCCATCTTCAAATAAAAACTCGGGCGGGGAGGGGTGCTACTTGCCACACAAGAACAAAGGTCTGTGCTAGGTGCCAGTTCCCTCCTCTCCTGCTATACTCTAGATGGCTATGGGCTGAGCGCAGTTTCAGGCAAGATTTCATCACTCTGTGGGCCCACCCTCTCTTTGTTCCTGGCATCTCTGTAGCTTGTTCTGTAATTATTTATTTTTATTATATAGGTATTTTGCCTCCATGTATTCTGTGTACCACGTGGATGCCAGGTACCCAGAAAGGCCAGAAGAGGACATTAGATTCCCTGGAATTCAAGTTACAAAATATTTTGGGGGGGTTGGGAATTTAGCTCACTGGGAGAGCAATTGCCTAGCAAGGGCAAGGTTCTGTTCAGTCCTCAGCTCTGGGTAAGGGGGAAAAAGACATTCTTTGTTTTTCAGATTTTTGAGGTGCATTAAGTATACCTTTAAAAAAAGCAGCTTGATGTGCTGAGTGGGTGCTAGGGATTGAACCCGGGTCCTCTGAGGGAGTAAGCACTGAGCCATCTCTCCAAACCCCAAATGTAATCTTCTTGTCATCCTCATAGTTGCTTCAAGTTAGAGTCTGACTTGTTTAACTGGGTGGGACTAGAAAGGGCTCTGTAGTTGAGAGCACTCACCTCTCCCAGTTCCGAGATCACTTCCTGATACCACAGGACTGCTAATAACCGTCTACAACTCCAGTTTCAGGAGATCTGACACCCTCATCGTCTGGCTTCCTCAGGCCCTGTGTGCAAGTAGTACACAGATGTACATGCAGGCAAAACTCTCCTCCCAACATACACATATATGCATGGTCACATGTGCTGTAATCCCAACTTTCTGGAAGCTGAAGTGAGTTGCAAATTTGAAGTCTACCTGTGATACAGAATGACAACCTGTTTAAAATAAATCAATGTATTTTTAAATAGAGGGTGATTCCATGGTTAAGAGCACTGGCTGCTGTTTCTGAGAACCCA